TTTAAAAATAATGAGTGCTTATCATTTTTAAATTGGGGGAAAAGAGAAAAGTAGAGAGAAGGGACAGAGGTGAGTGAGGGTCTCTGAGGTCTACACAACTATGCCTGGGATCCTCTCCTTCTAGATTCTTCCTGAACTTAGTTGTGCCCACCTCTGTATATAATGCAGTCATAAGAGGAGCTTTCCCCAAGTCAGTGGCTTTCTCTTTAACTCTAAAGGGGGTGAAGCCACCAAGGGTGGGTTCTTCCTCACTCTCACCCCAGGGAAGATTCTCCACTGCTCTAGCCTTAGTTCCCTATGCACAAAGCAGGGGTGCGACCTTTGCCCTCTTACCTCAGACCACAGCCTGAGGTTCAAATGAAGGACCACAGTGACCTGGAGGGGCTGAGGGGTTCAGAGTTATTGCCTCTCAGAGGTCCTAATCCCTCCCCCCTCCAATAAAAAACTTCCTCCAGAACACAGAGGCTGCAGCTGTTTGTATGAGAACCTCCATTCTGGTGCCTGCTCTGATTGTCATGGCAGGTCCCTTTGCTCACGGCCCTTGTTAACACTGGAGATGTTTTACTGATTATGTGTTTTTAATGATATAGACAATACACGAATCTGCTCTTATTTTAAAGCTAAAGGTAACGGTTTGGTGAGGGGCCTCACATCTGATTCTTTTTCTAAAATTATTTACTTATTTATTTATTTGACACAGGGTCTTGCTCTGCTGTGTGGGTTAGAGTGCACTGGTATCATCACCGCTCACTGCAATCTCAAACATCCTGGCTCCAACAATCCTTTTGGTAGCTGGGACCACAGGCACACACCACCATGCCCGGCTAATTTTTTTTATTTTTATTTTTTTAGAGGTTGGGTCTTACTATGTTACTCAGGCTGGATTTGAACTACTGGGCTCAAATGATCCTCTTCCCTCAGCCTCCCAAAGTGCGGGGATTACAGGAGTGAGCCACTGTGTCCAGCCACCTCATGTATATTTGGAATCCCAAATTCTGGTTCACAGCTTCCCTTCCATACCCAGCCGTTGCCTTTAGTTCCCTTTGTCCCCAGGCTGTGAGTTGTTCTGTCTGTCTCAGACCTGAGCCTCCAACTCTTAGGAACTTCTTTAATGTCTGCCAGTGGGAAAAGGCACTCCTCAGCGGGTTGGCTGCCCTCCTTTCCCCTGGCTTCAGCAGATGTCCTGATGAGGCCTCTGTGGCTTCCCTTTCCATCGCTCCCCCCCAGTTGACATTTGCCTCTGGTTTTTTCCAATTCTCCACTGTCCAGGGCTTCCGACAGTCTGCGCTGAATGGGTGCCCATGTGTATCCAGCATCTGCTTAGAAGAAGGCTGGACACTAAGTGCTTGAATATACAAACTTCTTTGATTGGCAGGAGTTTATCATTATCCCCATTTCATAGATGAGGAAACTGAGGCTCAGGGGGAGATTAAATAGCTTGCCTCTAAAATCAGACCCTTAAGATGCAGAATCAGGCTGGCCTGCATCAGAATAACCCAGGGATCCTTGTAGAAATAGGGATGCTGGGCCCCCACCTCAAACTCATGGAATGAGAGTCTTTGGGGGCAGGGCACTCCCAAATTTTGAGAAGGACCCAGCTTTTCTTCTTGGAATGGTGGCTAGAGTGTGCCCCATTCCCAGATGGCAAAGCGGTTCAGCACAGCTGCTACTACTTGCAGGGTCCCTGGGTAGGGCTGGTGGCTAATGAGGGTGGGAAGAGTTGGAGATGGGATTGGTGGCCCCAGGGGTCATGAAAGCCCCATTGACTATCATCTTTTTCCACCCTTAGTTCCAGGAGAATGTCCAGGACCTGCTGCCCACCTTGCCCAATGCTGATGTCTACTTCCTCCTGCGCTGGCTCCGAGGTAAGGCTGGTAGGGGCTGGGAGGAGGTAGGGAAGGGGGTTTCTCAGGAGAAAGGGGTAGGGGACTTGGGGGAACAGTGTTGCCAAGTCATAAAGAATGTGAGCTCTGGAATCAGACGTCTGTGGGCTAGAATCTGAGCTCCCCTGTACACAAGCATGGCACAAACCCCCCACTGAGCCTGTTTCTTCATCTGTAAAGCGGGGGTGAGGCACCTACTGAGCACAGCGTCCAAGTGAGGTCGGAGGTAAACACTCCACATTGTTGGGATGTAACTGGGCCAGGCGTCAGGTCAGACGAAGAACTTCTTTCATCCTTGCCTTTGGGTCCATCTTCAGTTGCCTGAGATCAGGGGTGTGTTGTCCCTTTAAGGAAGCTGAGTGTCCTCAAGGGCACTGAGTGAGTGCCCAGCAAACATTCAAGGAAGTGGCTTTAATTAATAGTAGAGAAGGAGTTTCTTTTAGGAATTACAGTGGCGGTCTAAAAAAAATAATAACAGAATCCACCCCAGGGCTTAGGGTAAGTGAAAATAATTGATTTTAACTCATTACATCCCATGGACTGGATTTTGAACTGGAGATGGGAGAGATGTCTGGAGTCAACCCGTAAAGCATACACACAGTGCAGGGTTCAAAAACACCAGCCTTGGCTCGGCGCCTGTGGCTCAAGCGGCTAAGGCGCCAGCCACATACACCTAAGGTGGCGGGTTCGAATCCCCAGCCCGGGCCCGCCAAACAACAATGATGGCTGCAACCAAAAAATGGCCAGGCGCTGTGGCGGGTGCCTGTGGTCCCAGCTACTTGGGAGGCGGAGGCAGGAGACTCGCTTGAGCCCAGGAGTTGGAGGTTGCTGTGAGCGTGATGCCATGGCACTCTACCCAGGGGGACAGCTTGAGGCTCCGTCTCAAAACAAAACAAACAAACAAAAAAAACCCACCAGCCTTGGACTCAGATAGAGCTGCCATTGAATCCCAGCTCTACCACGGCCCGCTGAGGGCCTGTGACGACAAGTCCTTCCTTGTCTCTCAGCCTCATGTTCCTCTTCTGTGTAATGGGCTCAGTATTGGTCCCGACCTTCAGAGTGCTGAGTCAGATGAAGTCACAGATGTGTCTGCACCTGTGTGAAGGGAACCTGTGCCCAGGAACTGGCTCTTCCTTCTGTTTTGTTCTGGTTTTATCATTATTATTTTTTTGTAAACTTTATTTTCTAGAACGGTGTTAGATTTTTCAGAAAAATTTCAAAGATAATATAGAAATTTACCCAGTTTCCCTATTATGAACGTATTGTTGTCATTACTGTACATTTGTTACAGTTAATGAAGGAACATGAATATACTATTAACGAATGTCCATACATTAGATTTCCTTAGTTTTTCTGTTCCAAGATCCCATCCAGGATCCCACGGTACATTCAGTCACCTTATCTCCTTAAGCTGCTTTTGGCTGTGGCAGTTTCTATTCATATTTTGTTTTGCTGTGTTTTATTTATAAGTGAACATGTCATTGACCCCAGCCTGGGCTAAGAAAGGGTGGGAAAGTGGATTTCTTGAAGCCTCTTGATATGACATCAGTCTTCCCTCTTCTTTGGAATCTTGTTGGTTTTTGGTTTTTGGTTAAAAACCAGCTCTCTGGTACTTGGCATGTCCTTTATAAAGGAGAGGTGTCATGCAAACCTTAGGCTGCTTGGAAAAGGATCCAAGATTGGAGGGGGGTGGCCGGTGTCCCATTGCCTCCCACTTCATGCTGGGGGATAAATCCTGTTGACGTGACCCCATCGTCCATGTCAACATCACCTGCACCACTCCCTGCCTCACTAACCAAGACACAGGTAAAGGGAGGGTCCTCACTGGGCCTGAGCTGGGCAGAGCCCCCTCCCTCTGCCTCACGCTGAGGGGACTTCCCAACCAACCCTCCTTCTGAGGACCTTTCCCTCTGGTTTTCTTTATCTCCGTCCCACATCTCTGTTCATCCCCCCACTCAGATGCCAGTTCCATGAGGGCAGGGACTATGCCTGCCTGGCACAAAGTAGATTCTACTGAAAAAAATAAAAATCCATTCTTAGATCCCATCAGCAGTGCCTGAATCACTGTCTCTAGGACAAGAAGCCACACACTGGTTCTAAACAGAAAAATCTCCTACAAACACTGCAGAGATTTAAAAAGCCAACAAAAGCATATTATGAGCAATATACGCTAATAAGTTTGAAACTCAAAATGAAATAGATACATTCCTAAAAAATATATAAGGCCAAAATCTACCAAGAAGAAATAGAAAATCTCAACAGACTGATACGTTTTAAAGAAATTAAAATGGTAATAAAAACTTCCCCTCTTAGAAAACTTAGACCCCAATGGATTTACAAGTAAATTCCTCAGACATTTTAAGACCAGTTTATTCCTCCCTTATACAAGTTATTTAAGTTGCATTAGAGTATGTGAAAGAATGAGAGTTACTTTATGAGGCTTGGGTAAGTTCGATTTCAAAGCTAGATCAGGACAATAAAAAAATGAAAATTCTAGTCTTGTTCTGTTTATTAATGTAGGTGTAAAGAAATCTGAATCAATATTACATAATAGCATCCAATAGTGTATTAAAATTATATGGTACAACCAAGGAGAATTGACCTTAGTCATGTGTATTAAAATTATATAGTACAACCAAGGATAATTGACCTTAGTCATGTCAGAACAATTCAACATCAAAATATTAGGATGTCAGTGTCATTGAAAACATTACTATAGTTAGGAAGAAGAAATTATGTGACTATCTCAATTAATACAGAAAAAGAATTTTAAAAGATTCAAATCTTATTTATAAGGCAGAAGTCTTACCAATCTAGGAACAGAAGGAAATTTCCTTGACTTGGTAACGATTATGTCACAAACATTCTCTTAACAAAGTTAATCCTTAAGGTGAAAATTTAGATGCATTTTCTTTAATATCAGGAACAAAGAAAAGATGATGACATCAATCGGCATTACCGTGTTAACACAGAATTAGAGATCTTTGCCAATGCTATAAAGAAAGAAAAATACAGTTATTGGTGTAAGGACTCAAAGGAAAGAATAAAATATCTGCAGATAGGTCAGGTCCTAGCACTCTGGGAGGCTGAGGTGGGAGGATCAGCTGAGCTCAGGAGTTTGAGACCAGCCTGAGTAAAAGTGAGACCTCATCTCTGCTAAAAATAGAAAAATTACTCAGGTGTTGTGGTGGGCCCCTGTAGTCCCAGCTACTCCAGAGGCTGAGGCAGGAGGATCTCTTGAGCACAGGAAATTGAGGTTGCTGTGAGCTATGGGGCCATGACCCTCTAGCCCAGGCAACAGAATGAGATTGTTCCCTCCAAAAAATCTCCACAGATGATTTGCTTATCTTTCTTGAAAACCAAAAACCAATAGGACCAACAGAAAAACTCCAGAACTAAAAAGAAATTTCAGCAATACTTCTAGATATGAAATCAGTAGCATTTATCCGAGCATAGAGATATCCTACTGAAAAATATAGAAATCAGATACCATTCAAAACAAAGCCCATAAAATATTCAGGAATTTAGCCTAGAATACAAGATCTATACAGCAAAACCCATAACATTTCTCAAGTATATAGAACTGTTCTCTTCCGTTAGCCACATATAACCATTAAAATTAAAATTAAATTAAAACTTGAGATCTTGCCAGGTGCAATGGCTTATACCTATAATCCCAGCACTCTTGGAGGCCAAGGCAGGTAGATTACCTGAGTTTCAGAGGTCAAGACCAGCCTGAGAAAGAGCAAGACCCTGTTTCTAAAAATAGCTAGGGATGATTGTGGGTGCCTGTAATGTTAGCTACTCAGGAGGCTGAGGCAAGAGGATCACCTGAGCCCAGGAGTTTGAGATTGAGATTTGACTCCATGGCACTCTACCCAGGGTGACAAAAGAAGACTCTGTCTGAAAAAAAAAAAAAAAAAAGAAAGAAAGAAACCAACCAACCAAAAAAAAAAACCCTTCAGATCCTCAGTCACACTTGTCACATTTCAATTCCTCTGTAACCACAGGGAACTGGTGGCTGCTATTCTGAGCAGCTCCAGTATAAGATGTTTCTACCATCACAGAAAGTTCTCTTGGACCGCATTGACCCAGAAAGTTCTGCTGGACAGTGTTAACATGGATTATTTGAATAACTATATAGTCCAGAGCAAAGATCAGGCAGGTGAACTTGCTGGCTTGTTTTCAAATATTTGCTGAGTTGCCACATAGACAAGTGATTACAGAAATTTTTTGAC